TTATCATTTTGATCCATATGATAATGTCTAACTGGGCCTCGTGTCACTTTATGTTCAATAAATTGGGCTCCGAGGTCAAAAAGGTTAAGAACCTCTGCACTAGACCAATCAAACAGAAAACTTAGTGTTATTCAAATCAGTTTCTGTATTTGTCATGTCTTAATAGACTGTACACTGCAGGGTTAGAAAAGAATCAGAATGTCAGTTTTTTCCAGCATCAAATCAAACTCAGAGCTGCTGACCTGATCAACACACGACTTCTCATCAGAAATCTCATGGATGTATTTGGCTTTTTTTCCTTTGCCGTTCATAAGAATTGACCTGAAAAAAACAAAGGTTTTACAATCATTTTTAACATTTTGTGTGTTTTAGTTTCATTCAAGATGTTACTCAGACTTAAARTAAAGATGCTGAAAACAAACCAGCACCGGTAATTCACAGGATGCGTCAGAAAAACATTTTAAAKGACTGAACGGTTTCAAATCAAATGTTAGAAGTAAGGACTCCAGGACCATCCAGCCTGTGATCACTCAAAGCTCTGCCTCTCTGATGGTATGGGGGTGCATTAGGACTTTATTAACCATCTGTAAAGTTGCATGTTTAAGCTTTTGAACTCTRCAGAGCTGAAGAAGTGTTTCTGCTCAAAGGTGAAAAATCTCAAAAGTTGCTTTTTCAACTCTTCAAGTTAAACATTAGAAAGAAGCAGAAACCCAGCTGAACAGACGCAGCTCACCTTTTACGTTTCAGATTCAGAATGTGTTTGCTCTGCACCAGCGTGATGATGAAATGTATCAGCTGGAAGAGAAGAACAGTTTCATAAAGACTGATTTTATAACGTTGCTGATTTTGTTTGTTTTAAAGGAGAAACTGTCAGTTTGGTGTCAGATCATCCAAGCAGCTGTTTTCTTACCTTTTTAATAAGTTGTTGCTGGTGAGAGTGTTTCTGTCGTAGGTCTGATATCTCCCTCCACAGAGCTTCATTCTCCCTGAACAACAAACACACAACTGATCCGTACTGGACTTTTAACTAGGGCTGTGTATTGGCAAAAATTTAGCAAAACAATACATATCATGACAGAGGGGTCACGATACGATATATCCCGATATATTGCGATACTATAAGCAAGGTGATATATTGCGATTGTTTTGTCCAAAAATTCTATTAAATAAAAACCTCTTACTGGGAAAAAAAAAAGAAAAACCAAAATTCATGGTCTCAGAAAATTCTAATACTGTATTACGTAGACATACTTTTGATACATTTAGCTGTGTTCTGCTTTGCATATATTTTATTTGTTTCATATTTCTTATTTCATCCATGTTTTCAATTATTAGACTAAATTTGACAATAGTTTGAAAATATATTTTTTGCAGCTTTTAGTTTT